CCGAACCCATTAAGTCCTCCAATGAACATTTTTTGGCCTTTCGGCCTTCTAATAGCTCATGACCACCATGTACTCTCGACAGACGTTGTTATTGATGTCCAAAGGTCTATAGATCGTTCGTGGATCTTGAAACTTGAGCATTATTTGTCGACCAATGAACATGCTCCTGTGATCATTTCGATGAATACCCACTTCGCAAGTATGTTCTCATGCATATTTACGAATTACAAAGAACTCATTTATGTCCATTTTCGTCGCTCGCAAATGCCAATGACAATTGTCGTCAATGCAAATAATTGTGTACGCTGACTTATTTGATTTTTTCACTTTAAACTCAAAATTGTGTTTCAAAGCAATTTGGTGCACAACTTCCTACAAATATTTCTTTGTTTTAAACAGTTACTCGACATATAAATTTTCATCATCAGGAATTACACAGGAACAATTAGAGGTCCGTGTACTCGTTCCAGGTTGTGAACCCGACTCATGTCTCTGATGGGATAAGCAATCAAATCCTCATTTGTAAATTCATTTTCATTTTAGTTGTTTTGAACTATCGAGGGAATTCTGTGTGTAACGATGAAATCACGGTGAGGAACAACTATATGGGGAATAATCACATCATCCTCACGAACTATCTCCACCGTGTGCCAAAAATCATTTGCATTACGATCCCCTCCATCAAGATTTTCGTGTTCACTATCGGGGACATTGTTTTTCGCTAAAGTTATGCAAATAGAAGTAGTCGTGCAAACTTGGTTCAATTCAATTAAAACCTTGATTTCATCTTCAGAAGTAACCTTTACAGATGAAATTGGAATGGATGTATGCTCGTTGTTGAATATAAATCTCAATTCCATATCGTACTGAGAGGAATCGACATTGAGCTTGTTTTGTATCTCACGGTACATTTGTGCATATGATGTACTTGATGTCATCAAAATTGCATTGTGCCATGTATTTCACCTGTCCATTCCCAGACCCATCGACCATTTTCATTCATTTTAAATTCACCAAAGTAACAAATTGGGACTGCAATCGATCCCATATCTGTATTAGGAAATATAATTTGTTAAAAAAAATTATAATTAGGGAAAAAATGAGGTAAAAAACTGCATGCCTGGTCATCCGG